GTCTCAGTAGAGGCAGAAAATACAAATATGAAACCTGAAATAATTTGCATAATAGGGCCCCTATAAAAACATAATTTTGTAAAATAATATCAGGGGATATTAACTAACATATTAACTAACATGTCAAATAATATTGTATTTAATTAAGATTTTGCCCAAATTACCTACCACATAATATGATCAATCTTTCCCACTTCCAATTTACCACAAGTGGCTGCACACCAACAAGTGCTTGGATTATTCCAGTGATTTGATGTTATTAAAGCCAAACATTTTAGATGATTTGTCAACCCCAGCAAGGGTTTTACATGCCCATCCAAAAGGGATGACCATTTCATCTAAATGCGCTGAGACCATGGTAATATGATTTGTCATGACGGTCCCTGACCCTCATGACACTATCTATATTGCATTACCTGTGTGACCGAGTGCCCTGTAAGCCACATTATCTGCCGCTGCAACGTCTTCCTCAGCAAATCCAAATGCCACATCTCACTGCCCACATTCATGGTAACGAGCAAACCAGAATCATTTATAAATCTTTTTGTACTAGTGTTAAAGAAGAAAATAAATCAAAGTTAGGAAAAAAAGACGGGGGTGAATTGTTCTCTCAGAGGCAGACATTGAAGGCTTAATAGTGTCCCTGGTGACACTGCCTTTTTCTCTCACTCACTACTGCGGAAAGCTCTTCACACACACACACACACACACACACACACACACACACACACACACACACACACACACACACACACACACACACACACACACACACACACACACACACACACACTCTAACGCAGCTACTAGCACATCCTTCCATGATCAAAGAGAGAGAAACTCCACTACCTCAATTGTTTTGGTTTGAAAGCTATTAACACATAACTATAATACCATCAAAATATTACGTTTACATAATAACAATAATTAGTTTTTCTTTTCTTTCTGGAAGAATTTAAGACATTGGGGTGAGATAAATACAATATTTTACTAATTATGTTTTGAGGAGCAACTCGACACCAATGGAAACTCTTGCATTGTCTGACTGCTGGTCGTGAGATCACCCCCCACATTTATACATGTATTAATATATCTTCTGTTTACACAGAAGGAGCTCATGTAGAGGGATGCTGAAGTTTCTCGACCTTGCCATAACGACTCGAGACACAGGGTTCAAATTTGACATTCTGGTGTCAGAACGGTGGCATAAATAGTTTGGGAAATGAAGTAGGTTAGAGCAGGAGTGGTTTTATTATCTGCAAGTAATCCTAACCTGGCCTGGAGGTCACAAGAAATATGAGAAATATAGGCACGCCTATGCAGGAGGGGTGATGGTGTGACTAGAATTGACATTTCTGGTCCATAGGCCAGGGTTTAAGTAGCAGAGCTGTAACATGGTGTGAAGAAGTGTGATGGTGCCCAGTCTCTAAAACATCCCTTCTGTATTGTTCCATTTGTATTTCTCACTAATAATGAGAATGTAGTGAGTGGGTGTGTTGTTTTGCATTTTTATTTTGGTTAATGCAATTTTAATAGTGCAATTGTCTGGTTAGAATTCTGCACAAATTATCATTCATGAGCATAAACCCAGTCTCTTTTGCTATGATAAATCCTGGAAGTTAAACTCTCTTTAAGATCTAATCCTATTTTCACAGGCATAATAGTGGTTCTTATAAAACTCCAAATACCACCATTCTGCTTTGTTTGCCATCTGAACAAACGTGGGGATAGCTAGAGATGAGGATAAAGAAAGGGACGTTGGGAGGGGGAAGATGGGACAGGGAGTTTAGAGGGGTGAGGTTAAATGGTCCATGTCAGTAGCGGTCTTAACGCATGGGATTACTGCCCCTTTGTGTGCAGTGAGCTCACTCAATCACGGAGGCCGTGTAAGACACACTCACCATTTACCCCACACTGTCACAGCCATCCTGATCAGGCTGGGGAAGTACACCGCCGCAATCAGCCGGTCTGACGGTAAAGAAGAGAATAAATTGAGAGGACAAAGAGAGGATAGAACGAAGAAAAATACAGGAACAATAAAAGTACGGAAAGATACGTTGGAAGAAAAAGGAGCTAAAGTGCTGGGTAAAGAAAACACAAGGTGAATAAAACATTGAAGTAGGCAGACGATGCACTTAAAACAAAAATAGAAGGTTTGCTATAAAGAAAGTGGTGAAATGCACTTAAAGCAAGAGATGGGTTACAAAAGGAAATATGAAGATAAAGAAATGGAGTGGCAGTTGGATGAAAGGAAAGTCTGAGAAGTGTTTTACAGGAACATTATTTCCCGTATGTGAGATGGGTTGTAATTATGCTAATTAAAGCTTTTATGCACGTGTTGTTATAATAGGCATCTCATCGTGATGTGCTCTATTCGCTCCTCTTTTTATGAGCTCTCATGGCTGGCTTGAAACATGATAGCCTCCTTGAAGAAAGACCAGAGTTGCTGTATGAAAAGCACAAAAATAATCCAATAAATAAATGCTCGATATAGAGCAGTGGACAGCGCTTTTTGAAAGCAGCTGAGATGATCATTATCACTTCAGATATAAGAGATGCTCGGTGTTCTCAGCTTCTGTATGCACACTTTATTTGTCAAGGGACCTACAGTTATTAGATGGGCCAGGCGGAGGTTTTTTTGTGTGAATCCTCCTCCACAGCCAGATTAAGTTATGGAACTGTGAATATTATCTACTCAATTACAAGCCGTGTTTCTGGGCTCTTGAGTTAATATGATAAGCACCTACTACAGAAAGTTTGCTAACTTGCAGGAGATTTGAAAAGTTTTCCTTTTTGTTCTCCTCATTTGCTTTGTTTAAAGGTAAGCCAATTTACTCTTGTTAAAACATTTATGTAGGTAATGGCATGATAAATAAGTGTTGAGAATGTGTTTATGGCCCTTAGAGTTAAACAGCTACTATGCGTCTAATCCTGTAACAGGTGTCATTTCTCACTCTTAATATTGTTGGGTTCATTTGTGTGCACAATAATATTTACAGGGTTGTAATGGGTTACTCTGATGCAAATACAAAACCTAAAATAAAATCCATAACAGTGCAGGCGTCTGACAAGCACTAATAATCTCCCCTGTCGGCCATTACTTTTCCTGTCAGCATTGTTGTGGGGGAGATGAAAGAAGAGTAATGCAACAGTAGCCACAGCTTGGCTCGACGATCGTCCTTGGAGACTTCCTTGTTGCTTTATAAAGTTTTCTTAAAGGGGGCCTATTATGCTAATTTCAGGTACATATTTGTTTTTTCTTCCTCCACTGTGACATGTTCACATGCTTTAATGTTCAAAACGCTCTTTATTTTTCTCATACTGCCTGCTGCAGCACCTCTTTTCACCCTCTGTCTGAAATCAGAGCCCAGTCTGCTCTGATTGGTTAGCTGGTCGACTCTGTTGTGATTGGTCAACCGCTTAGAGATGTGTCTGAGATGTACGCCCCCTAGCCTATCGCGTACAATATGTTGGAGCGCTAGCCAATAGAAGCGCAAGTGTTACATAGTGATGTCATAAGATTACCGAAGCAAACGTAGGATTCTAATCGAGACGCTTCAGGCAGGGGGGGAGTGTGTATAGAAAGTGTGTGTGAATATATATATATATATACTTTCAGTCTTTACGAGTGCTTTTAAATATACAAGTCAGCATTAGCCCATTCACACACCTTCATACAGAGGCTGCCATACTACATCTGCTCAGGGAGACCTACCTTCACACACATTCACACACCAATGGGATTAAGTATCTTGCCCAAGGACACATTGACACATTGACATGCAGGGGCTGGTGATGGAACAGACATTTAAATTCAGACAACCATCCACCGCCTGAGCTACAGAAGTCTATTACATGGTGTTGTGGACGTTTTATGTATCTTGTGTTTAGCTGTCACACTTTTAAGAAAATGTATTTGAAGTATACTACTCCAGCTTTGGGAAATGACTCAACAGCTAAAGGGCAGCTGACGTTTGTAATTCCCTTTTCCCTGACTCCATTAGAAGTGTTATTGCTGAAAAAGTCAAAACATCCTTACAAAATGAAGTAATGCTCTAAAGGTCAAATTTGCGGTTATAAGTTAAGTGAGTCTTGGGATTCAGTTTCTATTCAAGTTTTTGTTGCAGTACCGCAGAAAATCTGATCTGAGGCAAACATACATACACGTTATTTGTTTAGCACAGCAGGATAACGCTCTGATCACATTAGCAACCCCCTTTTCTAAGATGTTTGACATTCCTTTTCTGTAACTCAATGAAGAATATTTTCTCTGAAAAGTAAAGAATCCTTCAAAAGTGAAGCGTTGCTCTGAAGGTCAAATGTGTTCTTATAATTTAAGTGCGTCTTGGGATTCAGTTTATACTAACATGTTATATATACTACAATGCTAACCTTTTTGCCTCTGTCATTCTGCTTCTGCTCACTGTAATTAGACGTCCTATGGCCCTCTCAGACGTCCGCTGATTAGAGGCTTAAACAAACATCCACGTCTTATTAATATTGACATTGCCGCGGTTTTATACGTTTATCTCTATGGTCACTGTCTCTCTCTAAAACACGTAGCGTTTAATTCCGTCTGAGGTTACTCTGTTTGCCTTGTGTCAGTGACGCTACCTTTGAATTATTGTCTTTCCTGTGTCAGTCCATGCATTCTGATGAGCCCTGTGTTTAAATACACACACACACACACACACACACACACACACTGGGTACAATGTGAGAAACGGGTCGATTAAAAGGGCCGTTGACTGTCCACAATGTTTTAATTAAAGTAGCAGTGAAATGTAAACTTGGTTCTAATTATGATTAGCCCAAATTAGCTGTCAATCTGAATTGAATTGCTTTTGAATAGAGCTGACCTCCAAAATGTCCACGCACCAACATCGGCGCTAAGCTTGTGTGGCCGGTTATTTAGCACTGTGTTGTTGTTGATATCAGAAATAATGTAAAGTAAACACTGTCTTTATTTGTAATGTCTGTTTGTGTGTCTCTCCTCTCAGGCTCTGCTGGATACGGTGGTGAAGAAGAGTGAAGGATACAGCGTGGAGCAGCTGGAGAGACTCTACTCCCTCCTCAGCCAGAGCATCTACCGGCATCGCAGAGAGTACGAGAAGACCACGCTACTGGAGGTCAGAAACACACATTCTGCCTTAACAATGAATTGATTCATCAAGAAAATAATAAGCGTAATAATGATTGATAAAATAATTGTTATTTGCTGCTCCTTGTGGGAAATAACTACGTGATTCTACCTCTCATCTTTCACAATGGTTTCCCTTGTTGATGCCAGCAAGCAGGTAGCAATTAAGAAAACATCTGAACATGGCTCATTCTGTTTTAAGTGAATGTGAGAACCTCGATAACGTGCTGCAGTAATGAAGTATTTCTGTTTGATAACCTGGAAGTAAGCAAGGGCTCCCTGCACTCAAAGCAATGGACATTTTCCATTAGCGTTTGGAATATTAGGGAAAATAAGATCTGTGACAAACATACATAAATAATACCTATTTGTTTTGTCCAGCAAGATAATCTTGACACCACTTTTATAGTAGTTGAGTCTTAAAATAAATCGCCAGAAGTCAAAAGTAACACTATAAAGCAACAGGATTGCACCATGACAACGCCAAACAGCTAAGCTAATGGCCGATTTGGATCCGGATTGATGAAGTTTAGTGTCCTCATTCAAGTAAAAGCTTAAGATGTTCACCAGTGGAATATTTCCTCAGACATTATATCGGAAATGAAAACAAGAACTCATTCAAAAAACATTGACTTCAAGAAAAGGGAGCTCGGAAGTTATATAACTGGTTAAAGACTCATTCCTGTACCATTCTATTGCAGCTAAGGGACATCCTCTGTTTTGCGATATAAATGATGTGACATTTAAGCTTTGTTTTTACGAGATAATAATGCTGCTTCATAAAAAAGAACAGACTTAAAATGCATATCACACACAAAGTCCTGACAAAATGTATTCAAGTACGTGCAACACAACCCTTTATTTTCAGAGCCTCCGTATGTCCTGAGTTTAGACGATTCACACATCATTGATCTCACAAGTCGTTACTGGGTCAAAATGGTCTTGCTTCCCTTTTTTGGTGGTGCTGCAGTTTTGTCACCATGTAAGCAGAGTAACTGAGTCCGAGTAACACGATGCCAGGACACATGCTGTGCCTTTTACTGTGAGGTTTTTAACAACTGATAACATTTAATGAACTAATAACATTCCAGGAATTATGGAAAAGTGTAAAGTGGGCATATGATATCCAAGATCCGTTTACTGTCTGTTTTAGGGGGTTGGATATAGACGTCCTCCGACACTGAGACAGGCTGAACCAGGGAGGAGAGTCTGGAAGTGACAGAAACAGCAGCTAGGTGTAGCTGTTGGAGGATAGATGCCCACCACAGAGGTGGAGAAGTGCAATTGGTGTATGAATCGATATCAGGGTGGAAATTAAGGATTTATTTTTGCTTCAAAGGATCTAATGAAGGCAGTGGGGACTGTGAGTAAGATAGGGTTCAGGATGTTTGTGTGTGAGACATACAGAGATAAGTGAGCCCATGAGCTGGAATCCAAAACAGTAAATAAAAGAGTAATATATTCCTCACAGAGATCGATCAGCCACCCGGTCCCTCTCATATATCCCATTTCTTTGCCAGCCCAATTTACACATATTTACACATGAACCACAAACACAAAGCACACACAATGTGCACTACAGCCTCGCACACTACAGCCTCGCACACTACAGCCTCGCACACTACAGCCTCGCACACTACAGCCTCGCACACTACAGCCTCGCACACTACAGCCTCGCACACTACAGCCTCACACACACATCTTCGATTTGGACGTTTTTCAGTGTGAATCTAGAAGACAATATGTACGTTTTTGTAGTCATTGTTTCTATTATAAAAATAGAACTGAATTCACATGCTACTAAAACATCTGGGAATGCTGTCAATTATAGTTCTTAGCAAGAGGATATCTCAATCGTCAGGTCAGACGTTTAAGTCATTTTAATAGACTTCAGAGAACAATTTCACTTTTAAATCAAAACAAATCAAATGTATTCTTACTATACAAGCAGGCTTGTCGGCCCTCAGGAGTTCCCTACTATTCATTCATTTAATTTAAAATCGTATACATTTTTTTCTTTTTAAAAAGATCATTGATCTGTCTACTCTGAGAAAGTATATCAAGTATATATGAGTACTTTCTTTACTTAAGCAAAAAATAAAGTATTTTAAATATTTAAAGGTCACCTATCATGCTATTTTTAGGCAATAGCATAGGTCTCAGATATATAAAAAAACACACTTTATATTAAGGTACACAAATTAACCATCAACTAGTTGTTAATTAACATGCATATTAGCAGTAGGCCTATATTGCCTCTTTATTAGTCATTATAAAACACTTATTAATGCCTTGTTCTACATGACCATATTCTACAAGTAATAAGCCATTGGTTGAGAGTTTTTCCTCAATAACCCTCTAATTAGTGCTTATTTGCTGCAAGTAAGGAAGTTGTTGTCCATGAGTTTTGGTCTTAATATGCGCTGCTCAATATGGGCGTAATAAGGCAGTAGTACCACAAGAATAGTAATTCTCCCATAATAACACTTAACAAATATGATCTATTCTTATGTAACAAGACATGAAACTATAAGTGTTAATTGTGTCTAAATAACTCAATATTAGGTATTTATATCTAAGAATATGTTTTGGGGTATTGCCAGTTCAGCTACCAATAGCAAGGTGATGTTGACCTGTATGTTTCATATTTGCATATCTTTTTGTAACATTTGTACTGAAGGTTAGCCAGGAAACCGGGTACAGGAAGTAGGAGAAAGTGAACTGAATAGCATGGCAGTAGACATCGATGAGTAGACTGCTACTAATTTTCCCTATGCAACCTGAAGGCAAGGCAAGTTTATCTATATAGCACCTTTCAACACAAGGCAATTCAAGGTGCTTTACAAAAATGCAAATAAGTCAATAAAGGAGCATGGCTGCTCACTCCCTGACTCTCAAAAGAGTTTGGCTGGCTGTTTAATCTATGTTCACACTGAGACAGTACAACACAGAGAGAACAGTACACCTAGTGTGTAAGTACATACAAACAGGTCCCCTTTAAAAGCAAGTGTCAACTTAACCCAACCCTTAATTTAAGGTATTTTTGACAATGTTCCGTCTAAAAGAGAGCTGCTGTATTTTTTCCCAGAATCCCATCTGGTCATCTGCTGCTGCTCTAAGATGTCAGTTCAGACAGCGGGCCAGAAATGGCGGTCCTGGTGCTAGAAGCCAGGACTGCCTGTCAGGATGTCATGGGGAGGAAGTGGGAGAGGGAGGGGAGGAGGAGGGGGGGCAGTGAGCCAGGTGGTGCCGCCTGTCTGTGGAGGAGGGGGCGGGGGGGCGCGTGTCTGGGTTCATCTTATCCTGCCAGCCTAAATTGGGGTTTCAGAGCAGAAATGTCAGCCCGTTTGGCACGTGTTGTGTTTGCCTGTGTTTGCAGCACACAAACACACAGCAGGTCATCTCCCTGTTCCTCACCAGGGAATGCAGAAACATGCGCTCACAGACCTGTTGCTGGGTGATACTCAGTACGGCGGCTGGAGCCATTCCCACTTAATGTTGCAGCGCATGGTGTTTGTGTCTACTTTGTAGAGACGAGTGAAATGGAGCGTGTCCATACATTTGTCTCCTTTACTCTGCCCCCCCGCCCTCCTCTGGGTACGGCTTGTCTCCGTCTTCCAGAGAGCTGACCTTTCAGCCGATGGAGCGGACTACACCCTGCCTCCAGTTAAAGCCAGAGGGACCCTCTCTGCCCTGTACACAAAACATACCAACTGTGTTCCTATCTACAAATTGGCCTTCATATCACCCTAGAACTAGTAATACAATTACCTTGTTCCTCAGACAGCAATTTAAGACTTTGTACGAGCTAAAGACCTTTAACCTGCGTCCGTGTGATTCTGGAGCTGTGCACGCCGCTGGCCGACTTAGCGGAACATCACACATTGGTTATTTCTCAGGCCATCTTTTTTTTATTGGTTAATTGAAAGCACCACTAGTGGAGGTGTTGATTGTACATACTACTTGGATTCTTGGTTCATTTGCTTTGGTCTTGCTGTTTTCCCAGCAGTAACACTGTGTACTCTTTAATTTAGTCATGACAGCCATCTTGCCTTGATGTTAGTCAATGGGATCGTTTGAGGCATTATCTCAAGACATTGTGTACCAATGTTGTTGTCATATGAAGACAAAATAATCCGGCAGAGAATTGAGTTTCTCTACGACAGAAGGCTGTAGAACCGAAAGCATTGCAGCCCAATCTCTCATCATTGTGTGAAAGCGTTGTCAGTAGCTTGAGAAAAAAAACACTCATCCAGGCACAATACACCAGATTGTTCTCTCGACTCTCTTTTGTGAGGATAAAAATGTACTATGTTGTTGTTCTCACTCTTTACCTGCACGCACACACCGCAGGGAACCCTTACCCTCTCCTAGGGGCTGTAGGAAATTCGATCTGGGAAATAAAGGAAATCAGTAACTGAGGCGGAAGTAGATGAGACTGGTTCAAAAGAGGCAGGTACCCCAAAGTAATTCATCACACCTTTGTCACAAATTGAAGACATCTCGACAGTGGTGATGCTGGATGCATTGTATGGATGGTGCCATCGGGAAATTAAACTCCTACATCTACAATTCTGCCATGCTGGAGCTAATGAGCGACACAGGAATTAAACCTGGGTGCGCTGGTGGACTTGCTAGAGAGCGCTACAGAACTTTATCAGTGAGACAGAGGTGCTGCAGAGACTTGTTGTTGTTGTTGTTGGGTTTTTCGGGATGACAAGGTGATAGGCCTGCTGGCAGATAAACTCGAGATCACACAGGTGCAGGGAGGAAAAGAGCTTATCTGTGCGGCGGTGCGTGGGCGTACAGCGTAACACAACAACAGACGGGTGGCATAGATGCGTCTAAATACGGTGCCTGATGAGCAAAGACTTTCAGGGAATTCTCCAAACTAGTGACTTTTTATTCCTCAGCTCCACTTTTCATACCGTCATTGGGTTTTACAGCCTGTGTGACCTGGTGCCGAGGGTTGTGGTGGGGGGGGGGCATGATGATAAAGAGCTTTATTAAGATTATAATTGGAGTTGCAAGGGAAGTTAAAATGATGTGCGGAGTAACATCCGTCCTGTGACCTTTTTAAATCCATTCAGAACACATTGGCTATAGTTTTCATTATATCTAGATCACCAAATGAACAGCTGGCCACAATGCACTCTTCAGTTAACAGCGACTCCCTCAGCACCACTCGAACATTGTGTGTGAACATGAGAGGATTATATGTGACATTAATCTTAAGAAATTAGCTTGTGAATCCAATGCCATTTTGTGTGGCATTGAATTCAAAGTGTGCATTAAAAAGGCTTTGAGGTAGACTTTCAAGAGCATTTATAAGCTGATCTTTGTTAGGAACTTATAATGAATACCTTTTTGGACATCTCTCTAAATCAAACATTTAAATGCTGATGACAATTCTTGAAATATCAATTTTTTTCCTCAATTTAACTTGTATTCTCCAACATATCAATTTGTTATTTCACAATTCCAGTCCGACATGACACATTTACTTTGTTTGTTTTTGACCAACAACAAATCCACAACCTTGAGGTCTTTAATTTGATTCTATTGTTTTAGTAAAGATTAAGAAAACCAGAAAATAAATAATACAAATATATAAATCATAATGTACTTGAAATGAGCATCATAGGGCCCCTTTAAACATATATGTTTTGTTTAACAAAACAATAATTTATTTAATTATCAAGATCGAATCAAATATGATTGACTCGTAATTTCAGGCTTATTGCTTTCTAGTCATTTGCATGCAAGGCGTTACAGCACTTCTTCTCTGTCTGAGGAAATGGTGTCTGTTGTCATTATGGTGTTGGGTTCTAAAGTTTTCAGTAAATAAGGAAAAGTTCAACTCTTTAATAGAGAGTTTGTATCTTCTGTTGTAGATGTTGAAATGTGTGTCTTGTCGTCTGTCGCACTGACTCAGCCAAACAGATGAGAGAACACACACAGTGGAACATCTTCAAGGCATTAATCATGGTCTATTGCCGGATAACATCCATCTCTCTTTCTCCGGCTCGGCTCAGATTTAGTCAGTGTCAAACTCTGCTGTTTTCACGCTGAGAGAAATGGCCTGTCTCATTCCAGCACAGCTTTGCTTCCTTTTACATCATTTATCATGGTGAAAGCGGATGTTTGCTGTGGGAAATATCCAAGTAATATTGAAACCACGGCGCACAGATGCTTTCTACACACATCTGAGTTTGCAGCGTTGAGACTAAGCAATATCTTTTGATGTGTGTGTGTGTTGCAGGAGATGGAGGGGAAAATCCAGCATTTTGATACATTCCTGTGAGACGGAGAGGATACCATATCAGCCTGGGACCACAAAGACACACACACAGAGGCACACACAGAAAAATCCAGCGCCCTCTTCTTGCCGGGAGGAGAAACACAAGGACGATGTTGAGGACATTCAATGGTGCTATCGTCTCAGGAACCTGGCCAGATCCAGACCCACACACACACACACACACACACACACACACACACACACACACACACACACACACACACACACACACACACACCCCGCGCTGACGGTCGACCCTGGTGCTACTCGGGTGCTATCCTAACTTTCATCCACACTGCTCTTTGGGATTACTTCTTAACTTTGATGACGAGCAAAAGCCAACAGACCGGGTGGTGTCACCTGGAGACACACACGCACACGCACACACACACACACACACACACACACACACACGCACACACTGACTCTTGCATGTACTTCAACAAACACAGCCGGAATGCACACACTCACCCAGACCCTCACCAGCAGAAAGTGTGAATGCAGAGTCCCGCTAGGAGATGAGGACAGATAATGTTCTGAATCACTGGACCACATGGCTGAGCCCCCCCCCCCCCCCCCCCCCCCAAACTCCCAGTGAAATGCTTCGTCATAGGCCAGTAGTTACTGTGCTATTACGCGGCTCATCTTTTTCCGTCATTTTAGCTACTTGATTAATTCAATACCTGAGCCACCGTCAAGGATACTCACCCCAGAACAATAGTTTGAGTGTGAACAAAAACTGGATGAGGTTAGCGCAGCGGGACTAGAGACGATTATGTCCTCTTCATTACAGCGGCCCCGGTGGAGACCCCCCTCCCCCCCACAGTTTCTATTTCAGACTGACTGGTGACCAGGTCAGCTGCACCACCTCTGGTGTACCCTACCTCTGGCGTTCACACTCGCAGCAGATTGTCATGTCCTAAATAGTTTGGTAGCTCCACACCCTCCTCTTCCTCCTCCTCACTAGCATTCAGTCTGAATGTTTCCCTCCGACCCCCCCGGCTGAGGAACTGGAAGCAGTACAAATTGGAATGCGTCTAGAGTTTGCACTGCCTAGCGTGTGCCTTATGTAAAACCCCTTATATTAAAACTCTGATATATTTAGCAGGATTTTTTATTTACTTGTGACAATGAACAGGCTCCAATTTGGGGTTAGGTCCTAACCACTGAGGTCAGTGACCTTGAAGCAAAAAAAATAAAAATATATATTTAAATACCATTAGGTTGTTTAAAATCAAATCTAGGTTACATCTCCAACTGAAAAACCAAACTTTAAAACATCTGAACACAAAAGGAGTTTTAGATAACACTTACCTTTAGTGGATGAGTCTGGCCAGACGCATCTCAAGCACTTGACATGTTTCAATATTTAAATGTATTCATGCCCTCTTACAAACCTGCAGTCTCCACCTGAGCGGACAGCAGGTGTAGGACAGGTTGACACCACCAGCTTCTCTTCAGTTTTCCATATGCAAAAATGATGATGCTAGTCAGACGATTTACGGTGCCAAGTTTGATCCCTCTCACTTAAAAGAAGGTGCTCAAATAACCTGTTCATACGATTTTTGTTAACTATGAAAATGTTCTATTGTATGGTCACAACAACCTATGTGTTATGTTGTATATTTGATAATACTTTTCTACGGGTTTTTTTTTGTTGGTATAATGCTTTGCTTGAGTCGACATTTTGCAACCCATAATGAACAAGGCCACTGTAGGCAGTGCGTCACTAAGTTGTATAAGCATTACACGGTTTATTTTCCCCCTCCTTTTCAAATGGGTTTCTTTCCGACTTTATGGAATTTGTTGTCAGTTTTTCTCGACACCAGACAAGAGAAGCTGGATTCTGATCTGTGGCCAACACAGTAGTTGTTTCTCTGACTGCAGTAAATGAAGATATTTACTGAAGCTTTATAATGTTTTCATGGCATTGTCATGGTTTTTGGAGATGCCATATTGTGAGCAGGTGCAGACTTCCTTCACTCTGGTCCGATCCTCCTCAAGCTCTCTGCCTTCTCTCAGACTCGAGGTGACAACAACAAAGAGCATATGCAAACTGGCAACCACTTGGACTACTGCAGAGAGAAAACCAACGCTACCTCAGCTTAATTATTTTAATGCGACAACCGTTTACTGGGTACAAAATCAGTGTTTCTCCCCCCCCCCCCCCCCCCCCCCCCCCCCCGAAATACTGTTGCAACATCTCCAGTACCAGATCAGTGAAAGCACGGCCCTGCAGTAATCCAAGAGTTCCTCATATCTCTCCCATTGTCCACTATGTTTGCATTTGAGCCAGGTAATGATTGCAAACATTGTAAGCATATTTCGTGGACTGTGTATTATAAGCTTTAGTTTCATTTGTACTGTTCCTAGACTCTGAGGAGATAACATAGATCTCCTCCTTCAGAACAATCACACCCAGACTTGGTTAGAAGCTACATCTTTTTCCTCCTCACACAACCATCGCCTTTATATTAAATTCAGCATTTTTTTTGGTGCAGATTTTCATCTCATGATTCAGATTATTTATTATTAAACACGTTTTACACCTAATTCAGTCAACTGTCTTTTTGTACGTTTGAAATGTAATGAATCGGGGAGCGTCTGTTTTAACAATTGTTGTTGAATTGCGAAGCGTTTGTGTAGCAGGTTTTGTTTGCCGTGTGCGGGGGAATAAAGGGTTTACAGGTCACTCAGGTTCTACACGCGACAACATGCCCTTGCAACGTTTCTATTTATTTAATTGTTCCGCTGTTTTCTTCGTTAAAGTGGTAACGGACTGTTTGGCATACGGGAAGAGACTCACGAGGACGGATATTTAAAAACATTGCATCCGTCTAGTAGATCCCAGGAAGAGAAAAAGGACCAGAGTTCTTTAAATGTTGTTCACTTGTCTCCACTTTCTGCCAAAAGAATTATTTTTTAAGGAATTTAGAAAACACATGGAAATAAAATATGGGTAGTTAAATGTCATACATTGTGATCTTCCTTTCTTATTAAAAAATTGTAGCCAGTTTGGACTAACAACCAATTTTTGTCTGGTAGTTGAGACTGCTTAGTCCAGTATGCAGAAGGAAGGGTTGTTCTATCCTGAAATACTTTGTTCTTCCCTATTGTTTCACACTTAATTTTAGTCGAGACTTTCCATACCTTTGTCTGTTCTGTGTGTATTTACCACGCCTGTTCGAAATTGTTACTTTAGTGTAAGTTATTATTTGAAATGAAACTTTTACTGTATTTCTCAAATAAACTGCTGTGATACTTGAATAAAAGGTGCAAGCTGATTCTTTCAAATGTTATTTCTTACTGTTTTCAAAATACAAAACATTTCTGTTAAGCTGTATTGAGTGGAGCACTTCTCTTTACCATTCAGTCATTAATACAGTATACAAAAAAAAGACTCAACAAAGTGTTCATGTTCTGGTATATGTATTAGGTTTCAATAATAACAATTGTTAATTTCTCCTTTTTGGGTACAGATTTACAGACATACCATTTTGAATCCAACCTAATTTTTTTTTTTCTAAAAACATTTATACAGAATTGCCTTCAGGTTTCAAAATATACATTTTCCTTCCTGTATTTACAGAATACCAACCCCAAAACTCAAGGGTTGCAATGGAACACGTTGTATAAAACAAAGAGAAGGGGGCAGGGGCAAACTGATGAAGACGTCAAATGATAACAGTCACAGGTGATATTGTGCTTTTTTTTTCTAGATCATCATCTGGTCAGCGGAAGGGGCAATTCCCTCTCTCAATGTCTTTGTCTTTATCTTTATCCCAGAGTGTGAATTACGGGGCAAACAGGCCACTCACCTCCTAGATGGAATTTCACAAGAATGCAGATCAAGTAAAGTGTTCCTCTTGTAAACCCTACATGACCCAGATTTTATGGTTTTTCCTATGTTTCCCCAGAGTTACACAGAGTTCAAAATCTGTTTCCAAAATTACCTCATAAATCCACACTGGATGTAGGCATTTCGCTTTTCGAAACAGAGGAAAGCAGTCGTTGGATTCCTTTACTTTTCCTCGTGTCCTTTAGATGTCCCTACTGAAAAGACATTCATACCCCCAAAGGAACTCTGCTCTATTGACTGGCAAACAGAATTCTCAAAAAGGAACAGAAATCTGGACCGACAATGGTGAGTTCATGGAGATCTGGAAAAGACAGAACAAAGAAAACAATCTATTTTTTTGTAGTTTACTAAGAGGGTCCCCTGTGCCTGTTGGATGAGAGGATGAACTACTACCATGACACAGTACTGGAGGTTAGGTCACCTGACATGGCTGAGTAGATGAACATGAGTACATTCTGCACAGGGCTTTTTTTGGGTAGAGGGAGACAGAGTGGGTGGGTGCTGGTGTCCAGAGGTCGTCGTCGTCAGACCGGCCCCCGCCCCAAGCTGCCGTCGCACGTTGTCCCCCGGCCGGAGCTCAGCTGGTTGCCGTGGACCCCGTGAGTCGGGGTCCCAGCCCACTCAGCTGCTCTGGATGTACTTCTTGATGACCACGCAGCCGTGCCTGAAGAGCGGGCAGGGCAGGGACTGCAGCAGCGTCCACGTGTTGGAGCAGGGGTCAAAGGTCTCCATGTTGCCCAGAGAAGGACCCTCGCTGCTCACGATGCCTCCGGTGGCGTAGATCTTCCCGTCCAGGATCACAGCGCTGCACAGGAAGAGACACATGGGTGTGAGGTGGGGTGTTAGGGTCTTTTAAATATGGAGTCGTATCCATTAGCTAGTTAGCTTAGCACACACACTTTAACCTGGGGTTAACAGCTAGCCTGCCTCTGCCAAATGGTAACACAACTACCTACCATCACCTCTAAAGCGCAATAATAAGTACATTCTATAATTTCTTATTTGTTAAAGATTTCACTCAATTTTGGGGCTGTGTCTCAAACAACCGAACGTTTTAAATCTGACCAGTTGCTTGGCTACCAGTGGCAATTTCAGAAGTTACTTGTTGTGGCATAAATATATATATTATTAAATGTGCTTGAATAAACAAATTGAGCAAGATATAAGTGAACAGCAGAGAGTATGCTAGGTGGAGTTTGTTATCAATTAAAACACAGGCTCTCTGTCCAGTGTTAGTGCTAAGCTGATGTGCTGCATTCTTGTATTCACACAACACACAAAAACAGCTTCTTGCTTCTTTGTATTAATTCAAAGAGATAGATTGTAGATGATCGAAGTGTTTTTGAAACCATTCATGGTCAGTATGTTGGTATTGAATCCATTATGTTTCTCATTGGTAGGAGCCTGAGTCTTTAATCTGGTGTAGGCAGTTTTATTTCTCATAATATCTTCGAGCATATTTGAATTCAAGTGGTGTGAGAGAAAACTAGACTGTGTCAAACGTTAGAAACTTTATACACTGATAGGAGAATTTGGCCAATTACAGCCTGGTTCAACGATGGAATCTCCTGCAGGAAAGGTTGCTATACCAGCATGGCAACAACTCCCTTGAATGCAAAGCAACCCCAAAGAGAAACATACCAACCTCTTCCAGAAAACTGTCTACGTGGGGTAACATGTCAACTACCCCAGCTCTAACTGTTCCCTCTCTTTCATCTGTATGCAGCTTATGCAGACCCAACATGTCCTACTACTGCTGCTTCCTATTAAAAGCCCTCACTGTTAGGAACAATTAATAGCGAGAGATAATCAGTGTCGGGGAGATAAGTAGGTGAACGCAAGTGTGAGCTAATTTGGCGGTGATATGAGATATCTGTGACTCAGCACGCAGGAATATTGCTCTGATTGTCAATCTTGATGAGACAAACAAAGCCAGATAGGAGACAACACATCCACAAACACGCTGATTGTAGAGCTGCGTTTGATTTTGTTTGACATCACTTACGCTTGCTCACGAATTGCCCAACAAGGATACTTTGTAAGGTAGAGAGGGGGGGGGGGGGGACGTAACATTCCCTCTTGAGGACTAGAGAGGGGGGGGAACGTAACATTCCCTCTTGAGGACTAGAGAGGGGGGGGGACGTAACATTCCCTCTTGAGGACGAGAGAAGAAGAAAAAAAAACTAATGAAAAAGCAAATATTTCTACAAATGTAGATAGGAGAAACAGAAACAGGAGTTTGTGTGCGGAGAGGATTAAAACTTGGGCTGTAAGCTGATTAGGGCTTTGTGCTCCTATTGGGGTTTGGAACGATCTGCATTTACATAAGGTGCACGCTCAAATACACACAGAGCCAGCAGCGTGCCGTCCTACTGCACACTGCTGGGGTGGAAACAGATTATTACATAAAGCCTAAATCTACTCAGAGAGGAAGCACAGCTGATCCCAAAATGAAGAGAGAGCGCAGGGGCAAAGCCTAGAGCTGCTCTTCCTGATAAACAGAGGGGAGGGAGGGGGGGGCCTATGGAGGGAGGATATCAGCTCTCCTGCACGGTGACCTGCTGGACTTCATCTCATGTGCAGATAGTCTCTGAGTCTCTGTGTGTTGCTTCCCCTGCTCCTCCTCTCTCCGTGTGCTGCTGCAGCTTATCAATAACTCTGACAATGTGATTTATGTTACACATTGTGCACATAAGATCACCGCCTCTAATTGCTTCCCGAATGATTTTTTTGTGCATGCTTCTCTTTCTCTGCAGGAACAGAGAAAAAACCTCTTTGGCCCATAAAGGAGTGGGTTCATTATCCAGCAAACTGCACAGCTCAGTGGCTCGAGCTGACTGGGATACTGTCGTTCCTTTTCATTTATCTCCCTTTAGAAGCCATTACGTGTCCACAAGTGGTGAAGGTTACAGGTGTGGTGTACAAGTCTGAGCTTTACTGGAAATCAGGATAAAACTGAGCGATTCACTGCTTTGAAAGAATGTTGATTAAATCTAGCAGAGCTTCTGATATTTGATGTGAATTGTTACAAAGGCTTTACTTATCAAGCAATTTTGAAAATCAAGACCATCAATTTAAAGCCATGATTCTGCCACGAAAAAGTTTAACTACCAAAACAACTCATTGAAAACTGTCAGCCCACGACTGGCTTTGTTCAGTTTTTAATGAACTTCCTTAAAAACATCTTCCCTGTGCAGCCGCTAATCTGCGCTTCCACACAAAGACTGCTAGATAACTGATGAAGTTGAGTTTTATATATTTTTGAGGCTGTGTGTTTTTGAAGCTTCAACAAATGCTTTGGGCTTTTGAAAACATGGTTACGGTTCCACGCTGGGGGGTTTAAGTCAGATGTGGCACAGCTTCATTAATAATATCTTACCTGCAGAACTGCCTGGAGTGGTTCATGTTGGGCCCGGCCTTGATGTTGCCTTTGTCTGGATCATAGATAGTGGTGGCTCGGGCGTAGGCTCCTCCCAGGATGAATATAAAACCGTTTAGACTCACTGCAGGGGCGTATTTGTTATCTAAAGATACGAGAGGAAGAGGAGAGCGAGCGAGAGGAAGAGGAGAGCGAGAGAAGGGGGGAAGAAGAAGAAGAGAGATTTAAACAAAAAACAGAGCTATTGTTTGAAATTCATTCTCACATGCAGCGGCAATTTCCATTCAGTATAATGGCATCAATTTGTTTTCCTTTCCTCGGGCCGCATGCAAAAATCATCATCAACATTCTCCTGATCACTTTACAGATGTGCCATTTCCAAGATTGCTTTGGTAAAAAAAAAGAAATAGGCAATGAATGGCCGACCTGTGAAAAAGCGGAGTTCATAAATCACTGCGGCTTTATTGGGTTCCGCTCCAAAACATGTTTGGGCTTGGCAGCGATATAAAAGAGTTACCTAAGTCCCAATAATTCACAATTGCATTACGCCCTCTGGCAGATCCATACATTTACCGGAGGATGAAATTGAGAAAAACATAGTGCACACATTATGGGCGATACATGAGTGAACAGGTGGGATACTGCATACTGTGCATACTGTATAATTCAATCTGATACTGTATACAGCGAGGAGGAAAACAGAGGCGTCCAAGCAGCACCGCAGAAGAATTATAGATGATAAGGAAACAAAAAGAAACCGTGGTTTGTGTGGAACAATGCCTCTGAAAACCTGCAGCTTGAGAGCAGCGGCCCCGCTGTGTGCGAAGAGGAAGTGTGTTTCAAAGTCGGAGCGATTTCTCTTGAGCAGACTGCAGCTGGCCAATTTACAAGCAGCATGAATAATACACAGACACTTGGCCCAGAGCCTCCTCAGTTTTCTGCCACAACGGACACACATCGCTCATCAGGAGGAGGGACGTCTGACGCCTTAATAAGGCCGGCGGAGACCCTCAAAGCTGCTCTGGTGTT